CTCCTTCTCCTTCTCCTCTCAATAAACCCCACTCCCTTCTGCACTGCATTTTAAGATCACCCACAGAATTAGATTTCAAATACAGCTTTTCTTCCTTGTAAGAAACTCCACACATTTGTTCATGCTAGCACTGCTAAATAGAACAAGATCAGAGAGAAGACCTAATTGAACTGAAAACATCAGATAAGAAAGGGGTATTTAAGAAAGCATATAAATTCTAGTTTCAATGGCTGAGATTCCAAAGAAGATGTTTATTTGACAAAAGTATTTCTGGCTGTTGAACATTCTTTCTTTTCTCACATAAATTCAGGGGTGGGGGGTGGGAATCATACTTTTAAAAAATAGTTTATTAGTGTCGGCACCGATAATCCATGCAAGATATATCAAGTCACACTTCATGAATAAACACACTGTATGCTGAGCAACTGAAGAAAAAAAAATCACATGATGATCTGCTTCAAACCTTATTTAAAAGTAAGGTCACTTGTGGTATCATATCAATATTTCCGTACAGGTTTTTTAAAAAAAATCAAAGCAAAAGCTTAACAAGACTGCAGTAGAAAGCAAATCACTCAATCACAGAGGTTAATAACTTTGTTTAAAAAAATAGCATCTATTAGAGGGACATCTTATCTCACCTGAGTCCCAACATCATTTTTATTTTGTGTTTTAGCACTGAATACAAAGAAAGTTTTAAATAGAGTGTATTACCCAAGAAGGACCAAAGGAATTTCATGGATGGATAGAGTAATTGTAGATAGATAGATAGATAGATAGATAGATAGATAGATAGATAGATAGATAAATTTTTTGATTCCAGTGATTAATTGGTTGTGGTAGACTTCCTTTCAGAATTAGGATTTAAGCAAAATGCATCGTCCTAAGGCTAAATGGAAGATGGAAGGCAAGCCACAAATTAATCAGAGTTTTATCACAAAATTCAACAGAATCTGTGTTATGTCCCAAAAACTTTTCAACTGTTTTCTGCCCATTTCAGCTAGACCAAAAATATTAGCTACAATATGTAGGATCATGCTTCTGTGGGTCTCTTGATTTCAATGGATTTGCTTCTTCTTTAGGCGATTCAATATCTAATCGTCATTGACTTGGATGTCACTGATGTAACCTATCAAATTTTCCAAATCAGTTAATAGGCAAATTTTATTATTTGGTCATTCACAGGTACAGTATTAGGAAGAAAAAGGCAAAAGGTAGAAAAAAAAGCGGAACCAAAGGATAACAAGTTTAGTTTAGCATAAACAATGGTAATTGTTACATCTGTCATAAAGATAAATTTGGTATGTAGTCCTCCAGTGTTTCTCCTGCTGTAGAACAACAAATTTACTATGTGTCTAGGACTATTGTTCTATATAATTTAAAAAAATGTAAGGATACATGGCTGGATTCTACTCAAATAAAAATTGATCATAAGAAAATATACTAAGCAGCCCAATGTCAAAAATCAACAGTCTACTTGGAGTAAGAGACCTAATCTGGAGCAATTATTTTGCTGTAGCAACTTCTATTTATGTGTAACTTGGGTTGACAAAATCAGAAATGAGGAGGTAATAAGGTGCCTGGGGAAGCCAAGGGAAATCATCAAAACCATTAAAAAAATGAAAGTTAGAATATTTTGGACATGATCGCCAACATCTGATGATGGATATGGAAGAGGAAGAAGAAGGAGAAGGAGGAGAGGAAGAGGAAGAGGAAGAGGAAGAGGAAGAACAGGGAGAAGGAGAAGGAGAAGGAGGAGGAGGAGGAGGAGGAGGAGGAGGAGGAGAAGAAGAAGAAGAAGAAGAAGAAGAAGAAGAAGAAGAAGAAGAAGAAGAAGAAGAAGAAGAAGAAGAAGAAGAAGAAGAAACAACAACTTTTCTCATTTTGAGAATAAGAATTCAATTTTTTTTCATATTCTGGCAGGGAAAATATATCATATAAGATCTTTAAATCATTTATTCCTTTCTTTAGAACAGTGCTTCGAAACGGTCCAAAGTAAGAGAATACTGCTTTGGAGTGCTTGCCCCTTAAAGAGGATTGAGTGGTTACACAATTCCATATCTGCTTTCTCTTCTTCCAGGTTGGGTCTATCCGAAAGGAGATAGCAAACATCTACACCATCAGAATAATCCCTAAAATTTGTTGATGGACTAATCCAATGCTGGGCTATGCCACTGCTCTTTTACCATGGCTTAGTGAATAAATAAGAAAGGAATAGCCACAATGGTTCCCACCACGAGATGTATTAAACTAAAGCAAATCCCTTTTACGGCTGAATCCCATGCATGAATGTTTTCAATGAATAATGTTGTGCTATCTTTGTGCATGAAGCTCACCGTCCACAGCTGAATCTGACCATCCTTCTGCTGGATGCCATAAATGGAATTCCCTCTTGGAGCTACTGGTGGACTTAACCAGCTGAAGATAATTTGAATTAAAATCTATCTCTGTACTCCGTTGACTCCTTGGATTATAGGGAGCTATGCTACCACTGGCGATTACATTTTGCACTAAGTTACTAGCTTGGAAATGTAAGAACACGAAAGCTTGTCTTTCAGAAAAATTAAAAGGTTGGCCGAAATGCTGCAGAATCGTGTAAGAATAATTCTGAATGACTTCTGAATAATTCTGAATTTGTGCCTTCCTTGTTACATTCCTTCCTTGACAAGACAAGCAAGAGTTAAAGTGCTACAGACATGCATAAACAAGAGTTCAGATTTGCTTCACTATCCAACGCAGGGACTGAAAAAAATGTTATATGCAGAAAAATAAATATTGTACGGTGTGTGTTCCATTCTTTGCAGAACTCAAAAGAAGACTCAGTCCTGGTTAAGCATTTTTTAAAATCTAGTTAGTGCCAGTGCATCAAGAAAGCATATTTTATTCTTCCATGGGATACAAAAGGGATGTTAAAATAAAGCATAGAACTTTTGAGAAGAAGCCGTGGTTATAATGCAGCTTTTATTTTAGCTTTGAGCCTGAATGAGGTCGGGATTCCAGTCAAACAGCAAACATTATGAAAATCAAGCTGCTTTCTTTTTCCCTCTTGTTTTCCCGCCCCCCAAATGAATAATAAATATTGTACATGGTTTTCAATAAGAAATCATATTCTACTGGAGTAAACGGCTTTTATCTTTATGACAGTGTTGCCCATTCAAATGAGTGCCAAACAATGTTGACATAGAGCAAGTCTAAATTTAGGATGGTTATCTGAGCAGATATAAGCCAGTGGCTTCACCATATAAACAATTACCTGATGCTTAAAGGATTAAATACTCAAAATGCCAGCCAGAATAAATACAGGCTGCCCAACGCAAGAGGACAAAAGCTTCAAAAAGTAAATACTTGCAAAAATGCTAAATAGCATTTGTTCAAAAACTTTAAAAAAGAAAAGAAAGGAAAATTACTCAAGGTATCGCAGGCTTCTTTTTTTGTGTAGCAGCAAACACAAACACACTTTACAGCAGAAGTCTCCAAACTTGGCAATTTTAAGAATTTTAAGAACATCAACTCCCAGAATTCTGAGAATCGAAGTCCACCAGTCTTAAAGTTACCAACTTTGGAGACCTCTGCTTTTAGAGACACCATCTTTAAAGAATTGGAAGTCTCTCACTGAAGGTCTGTCTGGTGAATGGCACCAGATTTAACCAAACAAAATGTCACATTCTTGATATCAAGGAAATAATAATAATAATAAAAAATCTGGATATCCCCTCCCGTCTCTATATCTTCTTTTGCAATTGCAGCAGCTTTCCACAACCATCAACAAAAAGAAATAACTGCCTTCCCTATTACTGCTATTACGAGTAAGAGTGTTCAAGAACTCAAAGTAAGGGTTCCTGATGGACTATCCAGCCAAATCCTCGTCCATCAGTTGGCCAAGAGTCACAGATGGAAAGCAAAGGTTTGACTTCCAGATATCCAAAGATTACTGCTTCTACTACCCATTGCAAGTAATCTCAACCAAGTTGGAGGGTCTCACACTTGGGGAAATTTCTTACTAAGTGTTTCCCTCTTGGTTAGTTGGCTTGATAGTGAGGTGACAATGGCACAGTGAACATACAACTCAACACTTTTTCCTCCAGAGGTGGTATTCAGCCAGTTCTGACAGGTTCTGGTAGAGGAAATTTTGAATAGTTCAGAAAACCAACAAATAACACCTCTGACTGGCCCCGCCCCCATCTCTTCTCTGCCTCCCATTGAGTCACAGCTGATTGGCTGGATCTTCTTTTGTTGCCATGCATAGGAGAGCGGAGCTGGAAAGCAGGTTAGTGGGGTGGGTAGGGAAGGGAAGAGGGATTTTACAGTATCCTTCCCCTGCCACGCCCACAAAGCCACGCCCACAGAACCGGTAGTAAAAAAAAATTGAATACCACCACTGTTCTCCTGCCTTCCACAGTAGCAGATGAAGGACAACTGATACTCTTGAGTTAACTCTTCACTCTTCCATGCAATCCTTCTTATCATTTTGCCCAACCTATCTACCAACGATCAGAAGCTCAAGGTCCACACACATCCGGAGTCCTTTGAAAATCATTCTCTAACAGTTCTACTCTAGGGGGATGTAGTCAATCTAGGAATGAGACTTAGGAAGAGCCATTCACGATTATTGGGGAGTGTCTGATATTATCCCCAAAATTTACCAGCTTGGGGGAAAAAAGCACATTTTTTTTAAATCGAGGAAAACCACACCTATATACAAGAAAACCTGGTAATTAGGGAGAATTACCAGAGGGGTTTTTAGTTGTGTTTTGGATTCAAGCTTTGATTGGGTTCAGTCCATGGCGTGTTTTTAGTAAATTCTATCTGGCCTACAATTTTTTTTTAAAACCTAAAAGTTATGCCACATCTAAGTAAGTGTGAAGAAGAGTCACGACATGTAACAATGGAATATCTCTCTGTTGGCTTGGTAAGGAATACTTAATTGACTCATCACAATGGACTCTGACTCTACGTTACTTTGCGTAAATTGGCACTTTTGAGTTGTATTATAAGAAAGGATTCTATTTGTTTATTTTAACAGTAATGTTAATGTGTTCTACTAAGGTAAACCTTTCCTGGTCAATAAGTTTACACGGAAACTTCCCCGTTATTTTGTTCATTTTGCTCAAGCATTTGCAGCCCAAGTTGGCTGTCAAGCTATTCACTCTTTTGTACACCAAATCTCTGCACACACAAAAGCATAATTCAAAGTGTCCATAATTTGTGACCTCCCCTTCCCCTTCCCTATCTTCCAACATCCATAGGGATCTATATTTAATCTGTTGAATCAACCTCCGCGCTTTTTTACTTCGTTATTCCCTTCTGGATCTTTCTTTAGACGTTGATGGCGTGGGCATGTTTCTTGCACAGAGGTTTGTCTTTCTTCGAATAAAATGGTTGACCTTCCAAATTGACATGGCAGACCTACAAGTGAAAGACACAGGAAGTTGGAATTGCATCAAAGCAGGTGCGATTCTGAGACCCCAACATTTCAGCCCATTCTGTGAAATCAGCAAAGTTAGAGCAATCTAACATAAGACGTGCTGAGCAGGAGTGGGATTCAAAACCCCCAGCAACTGGTTCGCTGCCCAGTTGCTGGATGGGTGTGCCCATGGTGGGCATGGCCTACCAGAACTTCCTGTTTCCACTTCCGGTGGGCCTCCAGAGCCCAGGGAGGCCATTTTTGCAATCCCAAGGGTCCGGGGGCTTCCCCTGGGCCTGTGGGAGGGCGAAAACAGCCTTTTCTGGGCTCTGGAGACCCACCAGAAGCCAGAAAAAGGCCTGTTTGTGGATTTCCAGAAGTCCCATTTTCCCCCCTTCCAGAGCCTCCACGCAGACCCTGCACCTCCATCGAAAATGGGCTGAGTGAAGACTCCTGGGAGGGGAGGGATGGGATGTGTGGGGCCAGCCGGTCAGTTCAAATACTGGTTCCGCAAACCAGATGTAACTTTAACATCCGGTTCACCTGAACCAGTCCAAACCGGTAGAATCTCACCCCTGATACTGAGCCTCCATTACTGATTCAAGCAATGAGAGAAAGAGAGAGATTTGTGCACACGGATGATATGATTCCTTGATTCTGTTTCTTTAGAAAATCACTGACAATCAAGGAACATCCTTTAATGTGTTGACATGAAACACACAAAACAGTTTGGGTTTTGGTGCAGTCAGTCATTTCTTTCCAAGATGATCTACCAAACTGAGCACAGATGAACATGATCCAGATCTACTTCCAAGAATAGAACCAGAATATGGGTTCTTCTACATACATGTTTTGAAGAACATCTCATATGATCTCTCATCCCTAGCAGGTTGGCCATACCTACAAGGTGTTTGTTTCAGTATGAAACATTTAGAAGCCCCCCTGGACCTCTCGGGGTATCCAGAGATGGGCTGCTGCAGGTTCGGACTGGTTTGCCCAAACCCCTTGTTCCGATTCTGTGCAGTTCAGAGAACTGGCAAATTGGACCACCGACTGGCCCCACCCCTGCCTATTTTTCAGGCCATTTGGATGAAAAACAGCCCGAAAGAGGCCCCAAAACAGCTTGAAAAACAGGCCAGTTTTCGAGCTGTTTTCAGGCCGGTTTTCTAGCCAAAATCAGCCTGAAAACAGCCCCTCAAAAGGCCTGGAAATGGCTCAAGAACAGGCCGAAAATTGCATGGGGGCAGGGTCATCCAGTGATGGGATTAGCCCCAACCAGCTGAATCCTACCCCTTCCTTTGAAGCGAGTGGCCAGGAGGCAGGGCTGGGTGTGATGAGTGACGTCACCCACCCAGTTGGAATCAATTGGAGATTATGCTTGTCTCGGAGTGATTGATTACTATGGATAATTTCTGGATGCCTAACGCCAGTCACATGACCAACCAGCCACGCCCACCCAGCCAGAGAACTGGGTTGTTAAAAAAAATTGCAGCCCACCACTGGGGGGTATCTATCTTTGTTGTGACACCCCCGCCCGTCTTGGGAAGATACCTACAGCACAAATGAAGCATGTATCATGCCAGGTGTGACCAAGGGCTTCAATGAACTTGTCTCCAGCCTCAACGGGGAAGTCGCATCCATGGCATTTGGTGCTGAACAAGGCAACATAATCTAGAAGAAAACATACCAAAAATAAAAAAATTGAGGTTTTCAATATAAAGAGCACTAGGATAAATATATTAAGTCTTCTCTTGATTTTTTTTGTGATGTCATAGATACACACATGTAGTTTTGGGACAAAAAGACAACCACGGAGTTTGAACATCTTCTTTAACGGGTTGCAAAATTGTGGGTTTATTGTTGCTTGCCTTCCTCCTCAGCTTTGTGAAAGTTTCTGGAACGGGCTTTGAAATGGGTTGACTTGCCTGGTATGGCACAATATTTGGAGCATTAGACTAGGAGCAGGAAGAACTAGTTTCAAATCCTGCTGCCTTGCAAACGACAAGGTGGGGGTTTGGGTGGAGATCAGCCAGCTGATCTCTCTCTCTCTTAGCCTGACCAGCCTTAGAGTATTTCACAGTTATGAAAGCAAATAAGGGTGCATGGGGAACTCGTGGGAAGGAGGGCAAGACTAAACATGATCAGTGAGGCATTCTGACATGAAGCAATGCCAGAGTCTAAGCTGCAAATGCAACCATTTATAGAATGAATATTGTATATTATATGCTTCTTCTTCTGCACCAAATATTAGTGATGCTTCAGCAATCATTAACTTTTTAAAAATCTCTAGATTTGGCACACTTTGATTTTTAAATGAAGGATTTGTTTTCCTTACCTAAATGTGCTTATTCCCCCCCCCCTTTTTTTTTTCTTTTTATCTTAGGCATGCTCAACCAGATAGAAGCCAATCGGCTGTTTGCAAAAATGAAAACAAATAAACAAGAAAAGCCAAACAAGATTGAGTCTTGGGAGGAAATGTCAGGACTGAATCTGCAGAAGTTGAAAAAAAAAAAAAACAATTGCAGGAGTAAGAGAACGACATATCACCGTCGAGAAAATTGTACGACTGTGTCAAAGTAGTTTCTGGGAATCAAATTTTTCTCTACTTCACGCTGTCTTCCTGGAAAGTATCTACGTTAGGACTGTGAACTCAAAGTAGCAGTTGCTTTTCAAAGTCATTGCGAACAAAAGAAGACCTCAAAAAGCCCAAAGCCCTACAAATTTGGGAAAGGGGAAAAGCAAAAAGAGGAAAGTTGCCTTTTTGAAGCCATCCCTACGAGAACATGGCTGAACATGAAAACTGACTGGCAAAGACTTGCAAGAAGCATGAATGAAAGCGGTAGAGAAGGAGGGGATTTCCAAGCTGAGGGTGTTTTTGTTGGAAAGATCCAAGACTATCAACTGATGGAGGAACTTCGCAGCACCTTTCTCACAGTAGGGTTCTCCATCCTCCATGTGGAAGAGGCTGTTTCCAAACGGCTTCCGACAGGCAGCGCAGACAAAGCAAGTGGTGTGCCAAGTTTGCCTCAAAGCATGCATCACTTCCTGGAAGAGAAAGGAGAAGTGGGTGATTTTTCCAGAAATGTTCTCCTTTTGGTGGGGGAAAGGAACATGGGGGAGGCCAGCTCTTATCCCAGCTAAATAATTCAACGATTGATTATTATTTCCTCTTGTCAAGGAGAGGTAATGTCTGAGCAACTCAGGTGGAACTCCCGCAGGTCATTGTGGGGTTATCCCAAGATGTTCTTCAGATGTGGTGAACCTCAACTTCTATCATGCCCAGTGAAGCAGCTGAGTTGTCTACGGTTCATGGAGTTTTCAGGTAGTCCTCGAATTATAACCATAACTGAACCCCATATTTTTGTTGAGAAGCGAGACAATAGTCAAGTGAGTTTTGCCCATTGGATGACCTTTCTTGCCACCACTGTTAAGTGAATCACTGCATTTGTTAAGTGAATCTGACTTCCCCGTTGACTTTGTCTGTCTGAAGGTCACAAAAGGGAATCACACGACCCAGGAATGCTGCAACCATCATAAGTATGAACCAGTTGCCAAGCATTTGAATTTAGACCACATGATTACAGGGATACTGTTATGGTTGTAAGTGTGAAAAACAGTCATAAATCACTTTTTTAGTGCCATTGTCATGTCCCAGCATATAACTTTTATATACTGTTGTTATATACTTTCTAGTGGCCAGAAAGACAAATACCAAGTATATTGTTTGATGCTGATCCAACCCCTTTCCCCATCAGCCCACACTCTCAAAACAAGTGCACGATGGGAAGCCAGACTCCATTTAAGAGGTCCTTAAAGGGGGCGTGCATAAGCATACCAGCGTGCCTACCATCCCTGTCCTACTGTCTCCATTTATCTGTATTTACTTCCTTCATTCTTGTTTATGTTCATACTTATACTTGATATCCTGTACATTTTTGACAAATAAAATAAAATAATAAAATTTCTTTTAGCATTTGGAGAAGGTGGAAGCAGAAAGAAGAATCCATCTTAATCTGTGGCATATGGTCATTCAAGGACAAACCCACATCCCACACAAAGAGTATCATTGGTGAGATTTAAATTGCTTGTATTTATTCATTGCTATGTTCAGCAGTAACCCAATACTGCCTATCTTGTATTTGGTTCTCATTGAATGTATCCCTATTTTCCCCAGTTTCACCATATCCTGTTCTTTCAATAAAGCATTCAGACCTATGCACATGATGCAGAACCGCCGTTGTAACTTTAAATGGTCACTAAACAAATGGTTCAGAGGTGGGTATTCAGCAGGTTCTGACCAGTTCTGGAGAACTGGTAGCAGAAAGTTTGAGTAGTTCGGAGAACTGGCAAATCCCACACGACTAGCCCCTCCCCATCTATTCTCTGCCTCCCGAGTCCCAGCCGATTGCCTGAGCTTTCTTTTGTTGCCCTGCACAGGAGAACGGAGCTGGAAAGCAGGTTAGTGGGGTGGGGAGGGAATGGGGATTTTGCAGTAACCTTCCCTTGCCACACCCACCAGGCCACGCCCACAGAACTGGTAGTAAACTTTTTTGAATCCCACCACTGAAATGCTTATAAGTGGAGAACTACCTCTACAGTCAAACGCCCCAGGAAAGCATTAGGAAGAGGAAGGTGGTGTGACTTTACTTCAACCTTTAAAGAGTGTTGCTGGATGCCTTTATCTAAAGGGTATTGGGGATTCAGATCCCCAAGGGGGGAACCTTGGACTGGAAATGCAGTATTGTGTTAGGCATTTCCAATCATCCCATAAATATCTGCTTAAAACACAAAAATGTCAGCTGTGGAAGTTTAAGTCATTCCAACACATCACTTTGAAGTAGCCCAACTCAAATGACCAGGGAAAAAAACCAGGACTGGGATAATTGGTGTACAGGACTTTGCCGACCACTGCTCATTATCTGTTGAGCCATTTGTTCATGAGGTCTCTTCTCTCTATAATTTTTTTTTTTGAATTCCTAGTTTCCAAGGTGTTAGCTAATTTAATCTGACGTTCCCTTCTTCTCACCTACTCTTGACAAAACCCAATGATCATTCTATGTTAACGAGCTGCCTCACTGGTGAGTCACTGTTAATAAATCTAATTAACCTGAATGAGTGTTTGCATAGCAACCTAGATGATCAGTTTAAGTTAAGTTTGCAGGTCATCCTGCTTAGTTTATGGGGAAGTCAATACAGGAAAAGGGAGCTCACGATCTCACAGCCAATGGAAGCTAAGGTCTGATTGGAATCTCAATTAATACACGGCAGAGCTTCTTCATTTCCAAGCCACAGTCTACTCTTCTGTCTTTTCTAACAGGTATGGCCAGTGGTGGGATTCAAATAATTTAGCAACCGGTTCACCCAGTTGGCTGCTGGGGAAGGCGTGGCCGATCCCCATCCTCCAGCTCTGCTGTACATGTGGGATGAGTCTCCTGCAATGGCCACCCTGACCCTGGGTGAACCGGTTGTAAATTACCCACTCTCCCCGCTATCAGCATGGATCCTGGGTGCTGCGCTGCAACGGACCAATGGAAAAATTCGGCACAAGGGGAGGAGGAGGAGGAGGAACAGCTTCCCTTTTCCTCACGCTGACTGCTTCGTGGTCCATTTCTCCATTACAGCACAGTGCCCAGGGTCCACTTTGATAGTAGGGGTGGGGGTGGGGGGGTATGTAAGAACTGGTTCGCCTGAACCAGTACAAACCGGCTGTCAGCTTTGGAAGCCATATTAGCACCAGATGCTTCCAAGCTGCCACATTCCTGAGCCTGGGAAAATGGAAGGAAGAGATTTCTCGGAGCGTATGTGGTTAGACACAACAACATTCTTCTTCTAAGTCAAGGTCATGTTATTTCTGCACCTGGTGGAGAGGACGTCTCAGGTTGGGACGGATGGTGATTGGGGCATGTGATGCAATGATGGGTGCAGGGGGTGGATTTGTAATGTTTTACTTATTGCAAGGAAACCCGGAGCGTTCAGATTCGGGATTTCCCAGATGTGCCAGTTTACTATTCTAATGAAAAGAACCTTTCAGACGATGTCTGTCTTGGATTTATTTGTTGGACTGGAGGTTTTCTGGAACACTGACACTGGCTGAATCCCACCACTGGATACGGTTCATGTTTATCAACTGATATAGAGATGATGAGACTTCAGAGACATTCTGTGCCCACTGTAACCGAAATTTTACATCTGGGCTTCAAAAGGATAGGTGACCATTACAACTGGAGCAGAGAGCTAGAGTTTTCTTTGTCTCTTCAGTGCTCCCCGAGGGTCATTCAAATTCTTGCAGCCCATATCTGGTAGTTGGGCTCTCCCCCATAGACATGATTTGGCCAGGATTCCTCCCAGTAGGCTGGTGGACTTACCCCCATGATCTTGGCATGGCATCTGGCACAGGTCGGGGCAAAGAACTGTTCATAGCAATGCTCACAGTAGACGCTGTTCTGTTCTTCAACAAACCCCACATCAGCCAGAGAGGTCTTGCAATAAGCACAGTAGAATTCCTCAGGGTGCCAAGAGCGACCCATGGCTACCAAGAACGGCCCTCTGTAAGAATGAATCAAACACATTCAGAAAGATATTGCTCTTCTATCCCTTGCTTTTCTATCTCTTGCACATATGGATCTGTTCCAATGACTCCTAGGAATTAGCTTAATAAAACCCAGAAAAACCTCTTTAAAGACTTAACAATTCAAAGCTTATTGAACTATTATTCTGAATCTCCCCATTACCAGCCCACACGGAGAATTAATAAATTTTCTTCCGAGGGGATCTGAACACAATGTCAAATCCAGCCAGCGACCAAGAAGCCCTGGGAGCAACTGGAGGACAAATTTCTCTGCTGCAAGAGGAAGCAGCAGAAGCCGACTTGTTAGCAGAACTAAATCTTGGGGAAAAACCAGCTGTAAAACCCAAATGGTCCCTGGGAGTCGGATGGAAGGATCCTGAGGAAAAGCCTCCTCCAGGAGTGACCACTACCCGTCGGCGTGGAAGAGAGGAGCCATGGCAGGAGAAGGAAAGAAAGAATTTTCTACTCACTCAAGCCATGCATCTTCTAAATGAAGCTACCGGAGAACCTCAAACTGATCAAAGGTATGAGGGAGAGGAGGGGGAGGCAGCCCCAGCCAGAAGAATTAGAGCAGCCACCCCCATAAATCAACCTAGCACAACAGGCAGCAGCAGCCCAGGGCCCCCCAGCAGGAGGAGTAATTGCCAGAAGACATAGAACTCCAAAGGTGCCCCCATTGGAAGTAAAATATGGAGCGGGTCCCAAGGAATAGGATTCTTCCTGGCACAAGTCTGGAGCCATATGGAGGAAAACGGAGGGGATTTTTCCTCAGAAGCAGCCAAAGTCAGATGTGTTACCAGGGCTCTGGAGGGAACCGCTGCAGAGTGGATGGTGACTTTGCATAATGATAATGCCCCTCAGCTGATGAATTAAGACCTGTTCATGACTGCACTGTGGGCCAGGTTTGAAGACCCACTTGCTGAACGTAAGGCCAGAGTTAGGATGAAGACCATAAATCAGGGGTGGAGATAAGGGGCCGACTACACCCAGGAATTTAGAGAGCTGGCGTGTCATGTTCGAGGCTGGTCCCAGGGAGCCCTGATAGAAGCTTTTAAAGATGGATTGAATGAAGATGTATATCGAAGCTGTATTACCAAAAGAGACCCCAGTGAGCTGCAGCTATGGTACGTGCTGGTGGCAGAGGTGGAAACTGATCTGACCTGAAACAGACGCGGGGGGGGGGGGGGGGGGTGTTGATTGGAGCAAGTCCTCCCCCACCAGCCCTCGAGAAGCCTTAAAACCTCAAAAGGGAGGAATGGCGGCAAAACCCAAGACCACTGCATGCTTCCGATGTGGGAAGGAAGGTCACCGGGCTGCAGATTGCCGTACCAAGCTAGAACCAAAGGGGTCGCCAGGAGGAGGAAGAAAACCTGAAAACCCCCCAGCAAAGCTTCGCAAAGTGGTGCTTAAAGCAGAGGAGGTTGTAGAGATCGTCCCTCTGAAAGGAGAGGAGCTGGGAACTCCAACCTCTTCTGAAGAGAGTGAATCTGAATCGGAAGACGACTCACTGGTAAGTCCAAACAAGGGCTCTATGACCATTCCAGTGAGATTAAGGGTACCCACGTTGGGAGCCAAAGGGGAAATGCCGGCCTTGTTAGACTCTGGGTGCACAGTCTTTGCTGATTTAAAACATAAGTAATGTCTGATAACATTCTCTTTACAGCCAAGAACAGAAATCACTGTTGTCTTTGGAAATTATATACAGCCCATCCTCAAGGTATGAATCATTCTAATAACTTCCATTCTTCTAGGAACCTCTTAATTCATTTATATAGAATAGAATAGAATAGAACAGAATAGAATAGAATAGAATAACAAGAGTTGGAAGGGACCTTGGAGGTCTTCTTATCCAACCCCCTACTTAGACAGGAAACCCTACACCACTTCAGACAAATGGATATCCAACATCTTTTTAAATGCTTCCAGTGGTGAAGCTCTCACAAGTTCTGGAGGCAAGTTGTTCCACTGATTAATTGCTCTCACTGTCAGGAAATTCCTCCTTAGTTCTAAGTTGCTTCTCTCCTTGATTTAGTTTCCATCTGTTGCTTCTTGTCCTGCCTTCAGGTGCTTTGGAGAATAGCTTGACTCCCTCTTCTTTGGGGCAGCCCCTGAGATATTGGAACAGTGCTATCATGTCTCCCCTTCTTTTCATTAGACTAGACATACCCAGTTCCTGCAACCGTTCTTCATATGTTTTAGCCTCCAGTTCCCTAATCATCTTTGTTGCTCTTCTCTGCACTTTTTCTAGAGTCTCAACATCTTTTTTTAAATCGTGGTGACCAAAACTGAATCAAGTGTGGTCTCACCAAGGCCTTATAAAGCGGTATTAATACTTCACGTGATCTTGATTCTGTCCTTCTGTTTATGCAGCCTAGGGCTGTGTTGGCTTTTTTGGCAGCCGCTGCACACGCCTGTCTCATATTGAAATGGTTGTCCACTAGGACACCGATTTCCCCCTACCTGAAAGAGAATGTATTTACAAAGAACTCTATGCTAGTTTGGGATGGCCACTAGTGAAGTTTCTGTTTCTCCAAACTGGATCCCACCCGCTGTGTTGGACGTCATCAGCCCTACTGGTTGGGGATAATGGAATTTGTAGGTCACCAGCTTAGGAGTGATCAGATTTGGGGGGGAAGATGTGTTAGCCATTTGCAGTATCCATCCTGAATCTAGGATGTGACTCGAATGGAATTTCTGCTTTCCAAGGACTGAATGGTGAAGATAGACACTGTACACAAAAGACAAGCTTTTCTCTCTAGGAAAGCTAATGTTAGGTGAAAAAAACATCAGGATCATAGGTTAAGAGGCAGTGCAGAAAGATTTACTGCTCAATCCTATGCACAAGATGAAGAATGAGTCCACAGAAATCTTTACTCCTTTAAGAGGTGTTTATATAAGGCTGACATTATAGAGGGTGTGTTCTCTCTCCTTGTGTCCAGTATTCATTGCAGAGTACTCCATGTAGAGTTAAGAAGAAGATGGATTGCTTGTAAAGTATTTTGCCTACCACATATATTTCTGTATGTGTCTTGTATATAAACCACTGTTCAATGTCTCTCTGTGTTGTGATTTGCTTCTGGGTTGTTTCACAATAATAGTCATGCTGCAAATGCTGTAACACAACTAATGGCTAAAATTGGTGCTCGAGAAGGGCCAATGGAATCCAAGGAAGCTGGACTTGGATCTCTTATGGCAGTGATGGCTAATCTTTTCCTTGTCGCGTGCTGAAAGAGCACATGCATGCCTGCACCCATAATGCAGTGTGCACATGACCCTCTGTGCATGCACGTGTAACCCCCCCCCGGACATGCATCTCCCACATGCGTGTTTCCCCCCCCCACATGCCCGACAATTGGCTGGCTGGGGGCGTGTGCACATGCGCTGTGGATCTGTTCTGGGTGACCTCTTGCATGCCAGCAGAAATGGCTCTGTGTGCCACTTCCGGCATGCATGCCATAGGCTCGCCATCACAGTCTTATGGCAATGCAAGGACTCTAAACTGATGATGCACTTAACTCCACCTTCCCACCTCTGCCTGCCTTTCTCCTACACATCCACCATCTTCAGTCTCTGGCATAAATGTAAATGCACTCCACTAGAAGTCCTTTCCACAGAAGGATACAATGGACATACCTGATGATGCTGTTACAATGTCCACAGAGCGGAGTTCGGCTACCGGCGGGGCAGCGCTCTGCTCTTTGGATGGTTCCCCGTGCGATGGCAGGAGCCTGGATGGACGCGGGAATTGAGGGAGGTGGAGCAGAAGATGGAGGCACCGGAGCACCCTTTGGCAGAATGTGCTTGGTGACGGTGGTTGTACTTTTCCCAGGAGCAAACTTTTGGGAGAAGGAATCATCTGTCACCCAGGGGGGACGACTTGCAGGCTCAGGTTGGCTTGGAATATAGGTATGTGTGGACACCGACGGTGGGGCGGGTGCTGGAGCTGCTGTAAATGAGAAATTTGCACATAACAATCCTCATTTTTTCCCCTGCAAACCAGAAGTGGGATTCAAAATTTTTAACAACCAATTCTGTGGGCCTGGCTTAGTTGGTGGGCATGGCTTGGTGGCCATGTTATTGGCTGGATGTGGCCAATTCAATATCACTCACATTGAGGCACGCATCTCCCCGCCTGGCCTCTCATGACTGTGGGGATGCTGCAAGAATCATGTGAAAAATGGTCATAAATCACTTTTCAGTGCCATTGTAACTTTGAACAAGCAAAGTACCAGCAAAGGAGGGGGAAAAAACCTCCAGAGACATTCCCGAGACAGGAGGGCTAGTCCTGCCAAGAATGTAATAAGAGTTAATGGAGAGGCAGTTTCTGTAAGCAACACCAGAATGTTTCCTTCCTTACAGGATTAGGCCAGTAATTTCTTCTAACAACCGGTTCTCCGAACTGCTTAGAATGTTAACAACTGGTTCTAACAAATAGGTGCGAACTGGTAGAATCCCACCCCTGCTGCAAACTACAATATTTATCAGGACATTCATACCAGAGCAGCCTCAGATAATCTTAATGCTGCTTTCGAAGCCTGCTTTCAAAATCCGATGCTGCAACAGAGCTAAAATATTGGATAAGCCTTGGTCTTTAGAGTCAAATAAATTGCAAGAATCATTATTTAGTTTGTTTTGGTAGGTTGTCTATATCAACCCTGTAGTCCAGGATAGCAGTCAACAATTGCATAATGTTAACAATCCAGGGTGCAATTCAACCGGTATAACAACCAGTTTGGTGAGCGCGTATGTGCACCAAATGTGCACTGTGCACGTGTCCCCACCCCTGGCTGACACCCTTCCATTATCAGCTGGAAGTTGGATATAACATAGCCCTGTACATGGAGGGTCCATTTGGATGCTAGTTAAGGGGACCCAGGCTTTATGGAAATGTCTAATTTTGCAGATCCCAGAATTTAATGGCCTTCCTTTCCCTGGTGGAATGAAGTAGAGTTTGCGTGGCAAATTCAGTAGTAAGCAGAAAGCTAAACTCAAAAATCTTCTAAGATGTTTTTCAGGCCTAACTTTCAAGACTTCATCGGCTCCAAAAGACAGAGAATTTGCAAACTAATCCTGAACCGCATGTTATAGTTTTTAATAATAAATTTCAGAACATCATTCTTCTCTATTCTTCCTTCTGTTCTATGTTTAAAAGAAAGTTTTATTTTAATTTCCTGTTTAGCTTTGTTTCATTCCTTCATACCAGCTCCCGTGCCTCATTCCATTCCCACCTTAGCCCAAGGCCTCGTTCTTTCATACAAATGTATATTTTTTAAAAACTTAAAAATCTATAAACTGAGGCCTTTCCTTGTTCTCAACCTCCTGATGTCTTATGATATTAAATCACTCACAGTTTTGGAGGCAAATATCTTGCCGCTTAATCAGAACGCTAGCTTAAATGTTCAAGCTGCTTTGGCATCATTTTCTTGGTGAAAACTGTATAGAAATAAATAATCTTGAGCATCTCACGAAGAAAGGTTTGCAGGTGTACCTTCCTTTGCTAAGCGAGTTGCTGATTTTCAGACGGGGGAAAAACAGTGGACAACTCAAAGAATACAGTATTCCAAAAAAGTAACCTCCTATTTCTGAAGTGAAATACGATAGACTCGAGACCGGAGTTGAGTTCAGCTCTTTATTTAACTGTCAGTAACTTCAACTAAACTCGAGCCGTGGCAGCCTCTTTTATAGCGGCTGCTCGCGGCTCGCAACCAATGGCATCATTTTAAACCTCCCGCCGTTTAGGTGGCCAATCATAATCAGTTGTTAACCACCAATCGCTAGGCGGTAGTGATTGTCCAATCGGACCGTAGTTTTATGAGTATGCAAATGTCTATATACAACACCCCTCCCCTCTTGGCACGGTCCAACTTTACGTGTTGTATATAGACATTTGCATACTCGTAATACTACATTCCGATTGGACAATCACTACCGCCTAGCGCTTGGTGGTAGTGATTGTCCAATCGGAACGTAGTATTACGAGTATGCAAACGTCTATATACAACACATCCCATCTGGATTCTGCTGCTTTATTCTGTGGAGGGCTTCGATAAAACATGGAAAGGCTTAAGTCTTCTTCTGGGATGCTACCATAAGGAAAAGAGTGTACCACACAGAGGCCTGTAGACATCTGAATTGGCTCCTCTGCTTACTAGGAACAGAAGGAGCTTATTCTCAAGATGCAGAGGTAATCGTGGAGGGAGGGGGGGAACCTAGAATGTCATGCCATCTGCTGACAGTTTTGGGGAACTGGCATCCCGTGAACAAGGACTATATTTCTGGTTTCTGAAAATGTGATTTATCTCCAGACAAAGAAGGACCGTGAAGTTGTTTTCAGCAAGTGCTAAGCAGTGTCCTTCAACAGCGGAATGCAGAATTTTCCTAACCGTGTTTATACATCAAGGCAGCTTGTTAGGCTACTGGGAAATGAATGAGTGTCTATGGCTGTTGTTTTATAAAGACCTGTTCTCTTCAGAGGTTTCAATCAATCAGAATAGAGCTGGAAGGAAGGGACTTTGAAGGTCTTCTAGTCCAGCCCCCTGTGCAGAGTCCTTCGGGGGGGGGGCAGGAAATGCTGGCAAACGGAGCTGTGCGCTTGTCACATTTTCCCTCATTCCAGAATAAGGTTGTACCTAATTCCAGAATCTTTTTCTGTTTTGAACCCCCAGCTGAATTTCAGTGATAAATCAGGTCTTGGCTGACTGAAGAAAAAGCTAGCATGCTACCACCAGAAAATCTGAGATATGTGTACCCAACTGGGACATTAAAAAGACTTTTTTGAGGATGGCAAGAGCAAAAATTCCTGCATTGTTCCCATGGAAACTACAAGCACGTTCACGAAGTTATCAAAAGTGGATCTTAACTCTAAGGAAACTTTAATGTTATAATATGCATAAAAGTGTATCTAAAAATCTTTCTGCGGTTTATTCGAAAAAGCAATGAAAAGACCCACCATCCATCCAACCGAAGGGGAGAAAAACTAACATACAGGTAGACCTGGACTTACAACTACAATAAGGACTGGACACTTCATTGATAAGTGGCCCGGTTGTTAAGTGAAACACCGCATGACCACACCCAATTTTATGACCTGTTTGTCATGGTTGTTAACTAAGTCTCCTGTGGTTACTAAGTGAGACATCACATGATGGCAACTTGTGATTTCCTGATGGCTTCACAAATGACATTTGCTCATTAGAAGCTGGCTGGGAAGATGGCGGATTGCGAATCAGATGATACAGCATTGTAAACGAGCAATGGTTGCCAATGATTGCATGGTAGCGGGCAGAGGTGGTATGCTGCCGGTTCGCACTGGTTCTAGCGATCCGGTAGCATCAGCCAGCAGTTGGCCTCACCCACCCCACCCCTTTCCTGTCCTATATTTCCTTTGTTTGTAGCTCAGCTGATACGTGCGCCAGAGTGGATTCCCATGCCTCAGCTCTTTTACTCACCAGCACAGACAGTAAGTTTTCATGCTTAAAATTGCCCGTTTTAAAATACTCCACAAGCGCTCCCATAAAACCGGTAGTAAAATATTTTGAATTCCACCACTGGTAGGGACATGTTGCAATGGTTGTAAATTCAAGGACAGTTCAGAAGTCCTTGATAAGCAAGGACTACCTGTGCTTTCTTCTTCCTAAAGAAGTAGTAGTAGTTGTTGTTAATGAGCATTATGGGATGCAGTGAAGGATACCTTCAAATTCACCTTACCTGGCTGATAGACCGAGGGCCTTATGCTTGCAGTGGTCACAACTCTTGGCTTCGGAGCAGGTGCTGGGGCTTCACTGTAGCCAGTGTAAGGAGCTGGTCCATGGGGAGCTGGTCCATGGGAAGCTGGTCCATGGGGAGCTGGCCCATGGGGAGCTGGCCCATGGGGAGCTGGCCCATGGGGAGCTGGCCCATGGGGAGCTGGGGCTGAGGTGTAGGTTCTAAAAACAAAGCAGATCATGCATTTGTCAGAAGGCAGAGCAAACAGCTGGAGAAAGATGGTTCCCCTACAAGATGACAACTCTTCCTTGGAAGCTCCAGAGGAAAGCATGGAGATGCTACCACCCAGAAGTCTCACACAGTTAATACACACTTTCCATATTTATATCGGAAAGAAGAGGGAAACCTTTCGTAAAAAGAGGAATCAAATGCTTAGGCACTGTTAGCACCTTTGTAGAGTGTACGTCCGAAAGCCAGCCCCATGGCTATTTGGTTAAGATGGTGAGATGGTTCAGATACCAGAGAAGACAATCCTGGTGGTCTTATCCTGGCTTTGATTCCAATGGAAAGAAATCTGGCGTGCATGGGATAGGGAGATATGGTTGATACACCAAGAGGAATCTCCTAAAAATGTCCTTCGACAGAATGACCAGTGGAGGCAGAAGATTTTACATCTAATCCCAAAGGTACTTTTTCAAGAAGCAACTGGACTTTCTGGTTTTTCTTTGAAGATGGTTCACTTCTCGTCCAAGAAACTCCTTCAGCTTCTTGGATGAGAAGCAAAATGTCTTCAAAGAAAAACAAAGTCCAGTTGCCTCTTGAAAAAGCACCTTTGGGACAACCATGACCTGGAGGACTGAGAGTCTCCATAGATGTTCTAGATCTAGCAGCATTTTCTTCTTAATGGGACATCCCAACTGCTCCAGCTTCTTGTTGAAGGCCGATGCCCCCGTTTTTACCAAGGCTGAAGATATTACTGTTTTCCATCCAGGAAAAAAAAAAAAAAGAGGACATGGTCTCAGAGTCATCCTCTTCTTTGGAAGTTGCTTTTCTTCCATGGTAGAGGAAGCTCATTGGCTGAAGGCCAGGAGAGCTACCCCAAAGCCTGAAGCATCAAGGGATGGTTTGGGCCTAGCCTGGAAGACCCCAGGTTTAGGTCTTTCTAGAATTCTTTCTAGAATCTCAGGCCAAGGATTTAGTTGAAAATACCAGGGTGCTTTAGAAACAAACAGTACTTTCTACCCTTATTTATTTATTAGATTTTTTAAAAAAATATTTGCACTGCTGTTCCGATTTCCTAACAATCTGTCCAAGATTATTCCTGCAGCACACCTGCAAACGAATCATTTTTTCCCCAGAAACTGCCTGTTTTACTTCCCCATTAGACTCACGAGGGGAGCACTTTGCGATGCGTGACTCCATTAAGAAGCTAGCGGTATGTCTGGGCTTCAAAAATTTCAGCAATAGGTTCTCTGCCCGGTTTCTGGGTGAGAGTGGCCATGGTGGGAGTGGCCTAGTCAGCCTCCTGCACCATAGGGTGGTGGTGTTTTCACCTTCCCCAGGCTCCTAAGGCTTTCCTCGAGCCTCTGGGAGGGTGAAAACAGCATCCCCGGGGCTCCGGAGTCCCTCCGGAAATGGTTCCAGCCTTCCAGAACTTCCCCAGTCTCCGGAGGCTTTCCTTGAGCCTCTGAAGGCCTTCTGGAGGGCCTCCACACGGGCCCTACACTTAGCTCGCATTCAAAGGGGGCCATGTAGAGATTCCTGGGAGGGGAGGGGTGAGAGTGACGGGGTGGGGCAGGCAGGGCCAGCCAGGGGTGGGATTTGGCAGTTCACCGGCCTCTGGGAGGGCTGAAATGGCTTCCCCTGGGCTCTGGAGGGCCTCCACGTGGGCCCTGCATTTAGCTCGCATTCAAAGGGAGCCATGTAGAGACTCCTGGGAGGGGAGGGGTGAGAGAGACGGGGTGGGGCAGGCAGGGCCAGCCAGGGGTGGGATTTGGCGGTTCACCAAACCATGCAGAATCTTAGATAGAGGATCGCCTGAACCCATAGCAGCCCACTCCTGCTCTGAGCATACATCGAGTGTTTGTTTCCTTTACCAAAAGCTAGAGGTGTGTCACATCTGACTATTTTTGGGGAACCATTTTCTGTTTCTTGCAAGGTCTTATGACCCCAGAAATGCAGCAACTGTCATGAATATGAACCAGTTGCTACGTGTCTGAATTTTGATCAGTGGGGGATGCTTCAATGGTCGGAAGTGTGAAAAAGGGTCAGAAGTCACTTTTTCCAGTGTCATCGTGACTTCAAATGGTCACTAAACGAGGACTGCCTTGATTGATATAAAAGGTCACCTTGGATTTTAAATGGGGTTCATTTCCTGTACATCTCCAAGATGCAAACATCTTCTTTTTGAAAAGCCTGGTGTTTTCCTAAAGTTGTATTATATATATGTGTGCATTATAATGATATCAAAGAGAAGCAAATGCTAGCCACAAGTACTAGGATAAAGACAGATGGATATATTTATGTATTATTTCTTTCTTGACTAGCTTCCAGGAAAGGACCCTTTCAAGGTGATGTATATGACAAAAATAGATGAATAATGTATGCAGGTTTATTTATATATACGTATATATGTACCTGTGTGTACGCATGTACCGTGTTTCTCATATAATAAGGCCGGGTCTTTTTTTTTTTTGAGCCCTGAAAAAATGGCTAGGCTGTCTTTTCGGGGTTGACTTAATTCCCCCCCCCTTGCATCTTTTTCGGCGGGTGGGCGGCAATGGCTTGGATGTTGACCTCGGCATTGGTGGGGCACTTTGTATTGGGGTCAACGCAGGCAGCACCATATCTGGGTGTGCAACAAAAGTACTTCCTAATGGCAAGCCCCCCCCCCCGCACCATTCCCCCCCATTTCGCATGTTTTAATATAGGCCTTAATTGGGGGGGAGGGGCTTAATTTCATTTCATGCCTATAAAACATGCTGGGACTTCCTATTGGGGGAGGCCATATTGTTGGAGAAACAGGGTATGTACACACACACATATTTGTATGTATGTATACACACACTTATAATATAATAATATAATATAATATAATATAATATAATATAATATAATATAATATAATATAATATAATAATATAATATAATATAATATAATATAATATAATATAATATAATATAATATAATATAATATAATATAATATATATGCATGCGTTATTCATCTATTTTTGTCATATACATCACATTGCAACCATCCTTTCCTGGAAGCTATATATGCTCTGTGTGTGTGTGTGCATGTGTGTGTGTATGTGTGTGTGTAAATAATAAATTGCTTTACAATATGCTGTTATCAGGAATGGGATTCAAATTTTTTAACAACCGGTTCTATGGGCATGGCTGGGTAGGCATGGCTAGGTGGG